TTTCCATGGAATTAAGCCCCTGGGTGTCCAGTGTCCCATTTCCCTCTCTCTGGCCATGGAAAAAGTCCAATCTTGTCTTCAGCAGGGCTAGAATTAAGGCCACTGCCCAGTCTCTATTCCATATTAAAACACAATCCAATCCAGCATTTGGCTAGTTTAGTTTATGTTCCCAGCTGCACTCCATTGCGTGTGGGTCAGTCTTGTGGCTTCTAAGGCCACAAGGCTATGGAGAGAGAACAGGCGAGCATACAGGGTGAGTGCAGGTCATGGAGTAAGAATGTCAGAGCAAAGGAGCAGAACAAGAGAGGAGGAACTCTTTGTCTGGAGATTGTGTATTCTCAGATTTTCATGAGCTTGTATTGGGATCCACCCTCTTAACCAATCCATTGTTTTCCAGGCTAGACTGACAGGCATGTACCTTCCCTATGTCACCCCAATATCACCGCTCATGTGCCCTTCTCCCCCTTTGTTGGATCCTATCCCCCAGTGATCTGCAGGGAATAGACCCGTGGTTTCCTGGGGAGTGTAAAGTTGCAGCTTCCTAGTGAAGCTGCCTAGGTGACCATGCTTATAATACCTGGCCTCCCCTTTGCTCTCTTCCTGTTATTAATAGTAATAACTAGCTAATTGCAACAATAACAATATGACCATATAATTTTTCTTATTTAGCTTGTTTATGTGAAGGATTACATTAATTGATTTTTTTTATCCTCACCTGAGGACATTTTTGCATTTATCTTCAGATAGAGCAGGAGGGAGAAAGGGAGGAAGAGAGAGAAACATCGATGTGAGAGAGACGCATTGACTGGTTGCTACCCACTCGACCCCAACCAGGGCCGGGAACAAACTGCAACAGAGGTATGTGCCCTTAGCGGGAACCGAACCTGGGTCTCTCTGGTCCGTGAGCTGACGCTCTAACTGCTGAGCCAAACTGGCCAGGGCTACATTAATTGATTTTTGAACCTTGAACTATCCTTGCATGTCTGCTTCAAATCCCACTTGGTTGTAATAGGTAGTTCTTTTTATACTTTTTTAGATTTGATTTGCTAGTGAAGGGAACCAAAGTTTTGCTATCCTGAAGCTGCCTTTTTGGAATATTGATTTTTTATTTATTTAATTAATTTCTTTTTGTTACAGATGTTTCTCTTTTTCCCCCCATTGATACCCTCCTCCCATTCCCATCCACCCTCCCCACCCCCAACCTTATAGGGAGCCTTCGACCCGCTCCTCTTTCCTACCCAAGAGATTCAGAGAAACCTACTTTAGGAAAAGAGCCCTGGCTCAGTCTCCTTAAGAATCTTCATCCTAGCATTAGTTAGGCCGACTCTAAGTCTGTTTTCCAGATATACACAGTGTCCCATTGTTTCTGAGTTGCCTGGTAAAAGTTTCCTTCTGTATATGTTCTCCCTCAGCTACCTGTAAATCGACAATTCTCACTTCTGAAAGCTAAGAGCTGCCAGTCTGCCGTTTTCTTCTTTGTTCAAATGTTTTATATAGTCACTGTTGCCTGACTGTCTTTTGAATTTTCATGCCTATATGAATTCCCCATGTGCACGTATTAAAACTTTGATTTTCTCCTATTAATCTCTCTCTCTTAATTAGACATGGCCCAGCTAGAAGAACTTAGAAGGTGGGAGGAAAAGTATTAATATTTTTTTTAGCACCCACACTAGTATTATGTTGATGACATTTGCATGAGAGATACTGCTTTCTTGTTTTCTTGTAATATCTTTGTCAGATATTAGGGTAATGATGGCCTCATAAAGTGAATTGTAAAATATTTCCTCTGCTTCTATCCTCTGAAAATGGTATAATTTCTTCCTTAAATGTTTGGTAGAATTTACCACTGAAGCTATCTAGACCTGGTGCTTTCTTTTTTGGAAAGTTATTAATTATTGATCCAATTTCTTTACTAGATATGGCCTTTTGGGTTTTCTGTGTCTTCTCGTGTGAGTTTAGCAGATTGTGTCTTTCAAGGTATTGGTCTTTTTCATCTAGATTATCAAATTTGTGGGCGTAGAGTTGTTCGTATTATTTCTTTATTATTCTTTTTATGTCCATGAAATCTATAGTGATGTTCCATCTTTCATTTTTTATATTAGTAGTGCCTTGTCTCTTTCTTAGTTAGCCTGGCTTAGAGGCATATCAGTTTTATTGATCTTTTCAGAGAACCAGCTTTTGTTTTCATTGATTTTTCTGCTTGAATTCTTATTCTGTCTTTTCTTTTTCTTTGGATTTAATTTGCTTTTCTTTTTCTGATTTCCTGAGGTGGAAATTTAGATTACTGATTTCAGATTTATCTTCTTTTCTAGTATATGCATTCAGTGCTATAAATTTACCTTTAAATACTCCTTTCACTTAATCCAACAAATTTTGTTGTGTTTCATTTTCATGTAGTTCAAAATATTTAAAACTTTCTCTTTAGATTTCTTCTTTGAGCCACATGTTATTTAAAAATGCATTGTTTAATCTCTACATGTTTTGGAATTTTCCAGTTGTCTTTCTGTTACTGATTTCTAGTTTAATTACATTGTTATCTGAAAGCAGACATTGTATGATTTCTATTCTTTTAAATTTGTATATTTAAAAGTTTCAATGTGAACATATGTTTTCATTTCTCTTGCATTTATATCTAGAAATAGAATTGCAGGGTCATATGGTAACTTTATCTTTAGTTATTTGAAGAACTGCCAGAATGTTTTACAAAACTGCTGCATCCCTGTTTTATTCTCATCAGCATTGTATGAGAGTTGATTCTTCCACATTCTCACCAACACGTTGTTTTTCTGACTTTCAGATTCTAGACATCCTCCCGGTGGTATGAAGTATTTCACTATAGATTTGATTTGCATTTCCCTGATTACTAATGATTTTTGAGCATCTTTTCATGTGCTTATTGGACATTATACATCTTTGGAGAAACATCTGTTCAGATCCTTTGCCTAATTAGATTATTTGTCTTTTTATCACTGAATTGTAATAGTTTTTTATATAGTCTAGATATATCTCTTGATAGATACATGATTTGCAAATATTGTCAAGCCCTCTATGAGCTGTCTTTTGTCCTTTGAAACACAAAAGTCTTTTTGAATTTTGATGAAATTATCTGTTTTTTCTTTATTTTCTTATGCTTTTGGTTTCATACCTAAAAATCCTTTGCAGAATCTTATTTAAGGTTTGACCCTATGTTTACTTCTAAGTTTTATACCTTTGCTTTTATATTTATGTCTTTGATCTATTTTGAGTAAATTTTTATATGTGGTGTGAGATATGGGCCCAATTTTATTATTTTTTGCATGTGGCTATACAATTTTCCTGCACCATTTGTTGAAAAGACTATTCTTTCCTCATTAAATGGTTTTTCCATCCTTGTTGAAAATCAGTTGACCATAAATATAGGGTTCATTCTGGACTCTCAATTTTATTCCATTGATCTCTGTCTATTCTGTGCCAGTACCACACTATCTTGATTACCATTGCTTTGTAATAAGTTTTGCAATCAGGACGTATAAGTCCTCCTACTTTATTCTTTTTCTCAGGCTTGTTTTGGCTCTTCTTGGTCTCTTGCAATCCCATACGAATTTTAGAATTTAACTTAATATCTACAAAGAAATCAATGAGGTTTCTGCTAGGGGAATGCATTGACTCTGTAGATCATTTTGGGGAATATAGCCAAGGCAGTGGTAAACAGTCTCTGGAGATTAATGAGAGGGTTGATTATGTGTGAATGTGTGGATATGCATACATGTCAGGAAATGTCTATTTTTAAAAATAACTTATCTTTATTGTTGAAAGTATTACAAATGTCCTCCCTTTTTTTCCCCATGGATCCCCTCCTCCCTGTTCCCACCACTTCCCCTCCCTTGGCCTATACCACACTATTGTCTGTGTCCATTGGTTTTGCATATATGCATATAAGTTCTTTGGTTTATCTCTTTCCCCTGCCCCCTCCTTCCCTCTGATGAGGTTCATCAATCTGAGGAACTATTGAAAATAAAGTCTTGCATTTGCTAAAAAAAATCTTAATGTAAATAATATATTAAAAGTTTACTGGATTATGCAAATTGCAAGATTTAAAATGATTGGGGATAATTCTGTTTATTATATCCGAAAATGAAAAAATAGGCATGTGCCTATTTGGTAGACATTTTTGGTGTTGTTAGCATATTTTTTCTAATGGACCATATTATTTTGCTTAAGAGGAAGGATTCCTTGTTGTTTCTTCGGAGGCATTTTAGTTATTCTTTGAAAGTTCTTTTCTATGAGTTTCCTTATGGTTGGATTTATTAATAAATTTTGAAGCCATATAATAGTAACTTTATTTTCTATTAATTAAATATTAAATTTAAATTCAGACTTGAGTTATTAGAAATAAAGCATACAACTAAAGACATTCTCATTAATTATATAAAAAAATCATGTATAAATCCTGATTGGTTTGACTCAGCAGTTAGCATGTCAGCCTGAGAACCGAAGGGTCTCAGGTTCGATTCCTGGTCAAGGGCATGTGTACCTAGGTTGCAGGTTCAATCCCTGGATCAGTTGGGTTGTGTGGGAGGCAGCCAATTGATGTGTCTCTCACACATTGATGTTTCTCTCGCTCTCTCCCTCCTTTCCACTCAGTCAAAAAAAAGAAAAATCAGTGGAAAAATGTCTTTGGGTGACAATTAACAACAACAACAAAAGAAATCTTATATATTTTTTATACGTTTTCATAATTTAAAAAAATGACTTTATACTAAATATATTGTTGCTTTTTTTTATTTTTTCTGTATTGATATTTTTAGAGAGAGAGGAAGGGAGAGAGAGAGAAACATTGATGAGCAAGACCATCAATTGGCTGCCTCCTGCATGCCCCCCACTAAGGGATTGGCCCACACCTGGGTATGTGCCCTGAACAGGAATCAAACCGGCGACCTCTTGGTACATGGGTTGATGCTCAACCAGTGAGCCACACCAGCTGGGCTATATGGTTTTATATAACTTTTTTTTCCCCCCAGATGATGAACCTAGCCAAAGTGATTCTGTTATTGAGACTGCCATGACACTACCAAGTGAATCTAAAGTGAATGTACACTCCATAACTACATTAAAAATATTGGACTATAGGTATGTAATTCATTTTTTTAAACATAACAAAACGTAGGAAACTTTCAGAAATAATCCTTCTGAAAAAGGACAATGGGTGAAGAAGAATTCATCAGAGTGCATTAGTATGTTTGACTTAGAATAATAGCAATTGTAAAAACAATGATGAGATAGAAACGTATTAAAAGTACAGTGAACTTAAAATGCCCATTCCTTAGGTGGTTTGTGTTTTTTATGCTAGAGATAAATTGATGGTTATTAATAGTAAAAGTTTTATAATAAAGAATGTTATGCTATTATAAAAAATAAAAGAGTGACAATTTGGTTGGTAATAAAATTTTCGGACTCCAGCATCTAGAGAAGATTTTATGTTGTGGTGGTGGGGTCTATACTGGTAAATAAGAAATAAATATCACTTAGTTAATGAATACCCCAAGCAGGCAAAACTTGAGAGGTTGTATTTTGTTACTATATCTGAATGTAAGTCAGATAATGTCATAGTAATAATATGCTCTGGTACCACTTACATTCGATCTGAAACAGTTATAATGTTGGTATATAAACTGAGACAAAGCCTAAATTTTTTATGTATTATGGAAGTGTATTCAATAGGAGAAAGAAAATACCTATGCAAAGATTAGGAGTAGTTGTCAAGTGTTCTATCAGTACTAAGGCAACAATGATAAAAATAACTAATACTATCAAAGCTCTTGCAGTGATTGGCTCAGTAATGTAATGAAAATACGGAATACAGACTCAAATCATTTAAGTGATCAGATTTAGTCATCTACTCAGCCAGCTTCAATATCCAGCCTCTTTTCCTTAATGTGTCAGTAAGAACCACCTTCTTAGGAGTCGGTATACACTCTCAATTTCAGATTTGTTGTGTTTCATTCACATTATTCTCACCTCTTGTCTACCATTCTTGGATATATGTAGAAATCACTACTCTAAGCCAATTTCCTTCTTTGACACTGTAACACAAGATAGTAAGTATGCTTTCATACTTACATTTGTGTTTGACTTCTCTCATAGCATAGCATGGCAACTTCGCATGTTGTATATTTCATATAATATGCCCATTTGTTTAGTAGATATTTTTGGAGCCTACTAGATATCAAAGTGTGTGCTAGGTGTCATAGGACACTGAATGATGAGACAGACTTATTTCCTGCCTTAGAATTTCTTAGCTTAGAATTTCTTTTATCTCTGGCTTCCATTCCCTCCACTCATAAAGATACCATTATTCAGTCTATTTTGTGCTGGGTTCTGTGCTAGGTACTTGACATATTCTGTTGCTTTTAATACTCTAAATAATCTATAACGTAGGATTGATACAATTTTATTTGTAACAACCATTCCCACTTTTTTTTTATTTTTTTTATCCTCACCCGAGGATATTTTTCCATTTTTTTGTACAGATAGAGTGGGAGGGAGAGAGAGGAAGGGAGAGAGAGTGAGAAACATCGACGTGAAGGGACACATCGAGTGGCTGCCACCCGCACGACCAACCAGGGCCGGGGACAAACTGCAACCGAAGTACGTGCCCTTAGCGGGAACCGAACCCGGGTCTCTCTGTACCGCAGGCCGACGCTCTAACCGCTGAGCCAAACCGGCCAGGGCCCATTCCCACTTTTAAAGACACGGATAACACAAAAGCATAATAAATATAGCACTTAAGACCACACATCTTAGGTTATTTAGATTCTAATCTTACGGTAATTTGTTTTCCCAGAGACTTTAATTGGGAAGGAGTATACTATTTAAGATACAAATTAATTCCCAATTTTAAGACAAAAAAGCCTTCAACTAAATTTTTAAAAGTAGCATGAATCTTCAAAATTTGATTAGAATAAATCAGTTTCCCATGACTTGCACAGTGCTGATTGAAAAAATAAAAATGCTGCATCTGCACAGCAGAGAATGGAGCCCTAAAGCAGAAAAAGTAGAAGACATAAAACATCTATGAAATTTAGGCTGTCTTTTTCCCTATCTGTATTATAACGACTTGCTTACACAGTTCTCCCATATTGCACACATAATATTGTTTCATTGTACATACAGTCATTCAGCGGACATTCCATTAAAGATGCTTTTAAGTGGATGATATATTAGGCATTAAAAATTGTAAAAGAAGAACATAAGGATAATGGCTAATTATAACATCAAATTGTTAGATGTCAGAGTTCTATAATTTAAAATTAAATTTATATATATTCAAAATCTTGCCCTGGCCTGTTTGGCTCAGCAGTTAGAGCGTTGGCCTGCAGTCCAGAGAGAATCGGGTTCAGTTCCCCCTAAGGGCGCGTATCTCAGTTACAGTTTGTCCCCCGCCCTGGTTGGGTCATGCATGGCAGCCACCCAATGTGTACCTTTCAAATCGATGCTTCTCTCTCTCTCTCTCTCTCCCTCCCACTCTATCTGAACAAAAAATGAAAAAATGTCCTCCGGTGAGGATAAAAAAAAATCTTACTGAAAATTTTAACCTTAGTGAAAAGGAAATTTACATTTGCAAATGATCTTCATAAATAACAATGAATAACTCTTTAGAGTCTAATTTCACAGAACTGAAGTTCAAGGAAGGTAAATGACAAAGCTCTTCAATGGTAGAACCAGGAATAGTTTATGCTAAGGCCACTATCCCATCTACCTTGTCACACTATAGGAGAGAAAAATTGTTTTAGCTTATCAGAACACTAGTTTAGTATAATGTCGAACTTTTAAAAGTGATTTTTATCTTGCAGTTAACTGTATACCTAAAGAAAGTTGACAGATAATCCGTTAAGAAACTTTTAAGAAAAGGGGCAAAAACAGTTTTTAAAATTACAGATTTAGTTCTACCCTGAGGTACAGGAATCCATTTACTATATTACTGTCCATTTTCTATATGACTTCTAGACATCTGAGACTCTGAAGATATATCTCTGTTTTTATTCACATTGAGTATTTGAATGCTCAGAAGATACAGTGTGTTTTGACACCATATGTTAACATTTTGTGCATTGGTAGGTTTTTGTGGCATTCTTTTTTCTTTTTTTCTATACTTTAAAAAAACTTTTTATTTATTAACTTATTTTTGTTACAGATGTTTCTTCTTTTTTTTCTCCATTGACACCCTGCTCCCCCTCCTCTACCCCATCTCCAGCTTTGTTTGTCCATATCCATCAGTTATGCATTCATTCATATAAGCTCTGTGGTTTATATCTTTCCTCCTCCACGCCACCCCCTCTTCTGAGGATTGTCATTCTGTACCCTACTTCCACGTCTCTGGGTCTACCCTGTTCCTCAGACTGTTATGTTCATTATATTCCACAAATAAGTGAGATCATGTGGTATTTGTCTTTCTCTGCTTGGCTTGTTTCACTTAGGATAATACTTTCCAGGTCCCTTCATGTTGTCTCAAAGGATAAGAGATCTTTCTTTCTTACAGCTGCATAATACTCCATTGTGTATATGTACCACAGCTTTTTTATCCATTTGTCTACTGATGGACACTTGGCTCTTTCTAGATCTTACCTATTGTAAATAGTGTTGCTACGAACGTAGGGGTACATATATTCTTTCTGAATGGTGTTTCAGGCTTCTTAGGGTATATTCCTAGAAGTGGGATCACTGGGTCAAATGGTAGTTCAATTTTTAATTTTTTGAGGTAACACCATAGTGTTTTCCATAGTAGCTGCACCAGTCTGCATTCCCACCAGCAGTGTAGTACGGTCCCCTTTTCTCCAAACCCTCGCCAACACTTGTTGTTTGATGATTTGTTGACGGCGGCCATTCTGACAAGTGTGAGGTGATACCTCATTGTTTTAATTTGCATCTCTCTGATGATTAGTGATGTTGAGCATTTCTTCATATGTCTCTCTCAGCCGTTTGTATATCCTGTTTGGAGAGGTGTCTATTTAGGTCCTCTGCCCATTTTTTAATTGGGTTCTTTGTCTTCCTTTTGTTGAGTTGTATGAGCACTCTATATATTTTGGAAATTAACCCCTTATCTGATGTATCACTGGCAATGATGCTCCCATATGGTGGTTCCCTTTCCATTTTGATGGTTGTTTTTTTTTTTTTTTGCTGTGCAGAAGCTTTTTAGTTTGATGTACTCCCACGCATTCATTTTTATCCTTTATTTCTGTTGCCTTAGGTGATGTATCAGTGAAAATTCTGCTGTGTATGATGTCTGAAATTTTGTTACCTACATTTTCTTCTAGAATTTTTATGGATTCACGGGTCACATTTAAGTCTTTTATCCATTTGGATGTTATTCTTGTGTATGGTGTAAGTTGATGGTCTAGTTTTATTTTTTTGCATGTAGCTGTCCAATTTTGCCAACACCATTTATTAAAGAGGCTGTCTTGACTCCGCTGTATGCTCTTGTCACCTTTGTCAAATATTAATTGAGCATAATGTCTTGGGTCAATTTCCAGGTTCTCTGTTCTGTTCCACTTATCTATATGTCAGTTCTTGTGCCAGTACCAGGCTGTTTTGATTACGGTAGCTTTGTAGTATAACCTGATATCTGGTATTGTGATCCCACCTACTTTGTTCATCTTTTTCAAGATTGCTATGTCAATTTGGGGTCTTTTTTGGTTCCATATGAACTTTTGAAGTATTTGTTTTAGTTCTGTGAAGTATGTCATTGGTATTTTGATGGGGATTGCATTGAATCTGTAGATTGCTTTGGGTAGTATGGACATTATAATTATGTTAATTCTTCCAATCCATGAACAAGGTATGCGCTTCCACTTTTTTATATCTTCCTCTGTTTCTTTTTTCAATGTCTTGTTGTTTTCTGCAAATAGGTCCTTTACTTCTTTGCTTAAATTTATTCCTAGGTATCTCAATTTTTTTTGCTGCGATGCTAAATGGGATTGTTATTTTAGTTTCTCATTCTGTGAGTTCATCATTGGTGTATAAGAATGTCGTTGATTTCTTGACGTTAATTTTGTATCCTGCTACTTTGCCAAATTCATTTATTAAGTCTAGTAGATATTTGATGGAATCTTTAGGGTTTTCTATGTATAATATGCTGTTGTCTGCAAATAATGACAGTTTCACTCCTCCTTTCCAATTTGGATCCCTTTTATTTTTTCTTCATGTCTGATTGCTATAGCTAAGACTTCCAGTACTATGTTAAATAAGAGTGGTGAAAGTGGGCATCCTTGTCTTATTCCTGTTCTTAAGGGAAATTGTTTTAGTTTCTGCCCATTGAGTATGATGGCTGTAGGTTTTTCATATATGGCCTTAATTATGTTGAGATATGATTCCTCTATTCCTACATTGCTGAGCGTTTTTATCAGAAATGGTTGCTGAATTTTGTTGAACACTTTTTCAGCGTCTGTTGATATGGTCATGTGGTTTTTTGTTTTCGTTTTTTTTTATCCTCACCTGAGGACATTTTTTACTCAGAGAGAGCGGGAAGGAGAGACAGGAAGAGAGAGAAACATCAATGTGAAAGGAACACATCGAGTGGCCACCACCCACACGACCCAACCAGGGCCGGGGACAAACTGCAGCCAAGGTACATGCCCTTAGCGGGAACCGAACCCGGGTCTCTGTGGACCGCAGGCTGACGTTCTAACCGCTGAGCCAAACCGGCCAGGGCTGGTCATGTGCTTTTTATCTTTCATTTTGTTTATGTGGTGTATCAAATTTATTGATTTGCAAATATTGTACCAGCCTTGCATCCCTGGGATGAATTCCACTTGGTCACAGTGAATAATTTTTTTAATGTATTGCTGGGTCTGATTTGCTAGTATTTTGTTCAGAATTTTGGCATCTATCTTCATCAGGGATATTGGCCTGTAGCTTTCTTTCTTTGTAGTGTCTTTTTTTGGTTTTGGAATTAGAATTATGCTGGCCTCTTAAAACAAGTTTGGAAGTCTTCCTTCTTCAATTTTTTGAAATAGTTTGAGGAGAATGGGTGTTAGTTCTTCTTTGAATGTTCGGTAAATCTCCCCCATGAAGCCATCCGGGCCTGGGCTTTTGTTTGCTGGGAGAATCTTGATTACCTCTTCAGTTTCCTTAGTTGTTATTGGTCTGTTCAAGTTTTCTATCTCTTCCCAGTCCAGTTTTTGGAGACTATATGTTTCTAGAAATTTTTTCGTTTTGCTTAGATTGTTGAATTTGTTGCCGTATAATTGTTCATAGTATTTGATAACGATCCTTTGTATTTCTGTGGTATCAGTTGTTATTTCTCCTCTTTCATTTCTGATTTTGTGTATTTGGGTTCTCTCTTTGTTTCTTGGTGAGTTTAGCTAAGGGTCCCTCAATCTTGTTTATTTTTCAAAACACCAGCTCTTTGTTTTATTGATATTTTGAATTGTTTCTTTGGACTCTATGTCATTTATTTCTGCTCTGATCTTTACTATTTTTTTCCTTCTACTTGCTCTGGGGTTTTCTTTTTGTTTGCTTTCTAGTTCTATAAGTTGTGAGGTTAGATAGTCAATTAGAAATTTTTCTTGTTTCTTGAGGTAGGCCTGTAGTGCTATGAACAGCCCTCTCAGAACTGGTTTCGCTGCATCCCATAGATTTTGTGTTGTTGTGTGTTCATTTTCATTGGTTTCCAGGAAGTTTTAACTTCTTCCTTGATCTTCTTGGTAACCCATTCATTGTTTAGTAACATGCTATTTAGCCTCCATGTGTTCCAATGTCTTTGCTTGTTCTTGTTGCAATTAATTTCTAGTTTCATGCTATTGTGATCTGAGAAGATGCTTGATACGATTTCAGTCTTCTTGAACTTGTAGAGACTTAATTTGTGTCTTAACATGTGGTCTGTCTTTGAGAATGTTCCATGTGCACTTAGAAGAATATGAATTCAGTAGTTTTGGGGTGTAATTCTCTATAGATATCTATTAAATTCATTTGGTCTAGTGCCTCATTTAGAGTCTATGTTTCCTTGTTAATTTTTTGTCTAGAGGATCTATACAGTGATGTCAGCAGGGTGTTGAAGTCCCCTGCTATAATTGTATTACTGTCTTTTTCTCCTTTGAAGTCCTCCAGAAGATTTTAAATATATTTTGGTGCTCCTATATTGGGTGCATACATTTTTACCAAGGTTATATCTTCCTGTTGAATAGATTCTTTCAATATTATGTAGTGACTTTCTTTGTCTCTAGTTATGGCCTTTATTTTGAAATCTATTTTATCAGATATGAGTATTGCTACCCCAACTTCTTTTTTCTTTCTGTTTGCTTGGAAGATTTTTTTTTCATTCCTTCACTTTCAACCTATATGAGTGTTTTGTTGTGAGGTCGGTCTCTTGTAAACAACATCTATGTGAGTCATGGTTTCTTATTCAGTCTGCTACTCTGTGTCTTTTTATTGGAGCATTCAAACCATTTCCATTTAAGGTGATTACTGATATGTCCTTATTTATTGCCATTTTTGTTTAGTGTGGTTATATTTTTCTTCCTATTTTTTCTACTAATTACAGCAGTTCTTTTAACATTTCTTACAGTGCTGGTTTGGTGCTAATTTATTCCCTTCGCCTTTTTTTTTTGTCTGGGAAGCTCTTTATTTGACCTTCTATTTTGAATGATAGCTTTGCTGCATAGAGTAGTCTTGGATTCAGATCCTTGTTTTTCATAACCTCAATTACTTCATGCCATTCCTTTCTGTCCTGTAGTGTTTCTGTTGAGAAGTCAGCTGATAGCCTTATGGGCATTCCTTTGTAGGTAACCTGTTGCTTATCTCTTGCTGCCTTTAGGATTCTCTTTGTCTTAGTTTTTGTCATTTTAATTACTATGTGTCTTGGTGTGGGCCTGTTTGGGTTCTTCTTACTTGGGGCTCTCTGTGCTTCTTGAACTTGAATGCCTTCTTCCTTCACCAAATTAGGAAAGTTTTCTGCCATTATTTCTTTAAATATATTCTCTAACCCTTGCTCATTTTCTTCTTCTTTGGGGACTCGTATGATGCAAATATTATTACTTTTCCAGTTGTCCCACTGTTCTCTTAAGCTGTCTTCCTGTTTTTGAATTGTTTTTTTCCTTTTGGTTTTCTGATTGGTTGATTTTTATTTTATTTTTTACCCTGTCTTTTAATTCACTGATCTGGTTCTCAGCTTCCTTTACTCTGCTATTTAGTCCTTCCAATGTGTTCTTTATTTCTGCTATATCATTCTTCATTTCCACTTGGTTGGTTTTCAATGCTTCTATATCTTTACTCATGGTGTTGAGGTCCTTACTCATGCTGTTGAGCTTCCTCAAGATCATAACTAAACTCTACCTCTGATAACTTGCTTAACTGCATTTTATTTATCTCATCTTTGGTAGAAGTCTCTTGTTCTTTTATTTGGGATTTGTTTCTGTTTGACCATTTTGGCAATACCAGTGGGCTATGTAGCCTTCCAAATTTTCCCTGTGGGTGTTAGTGTTCTTCTGTTTGTGGCTCCCTCTACTCTACTGGGTTTGGATGAGCGAGGGGAGACCCACGTTAAACTCCACTGTCTAGTCTTACTTTCCTGGGTAGATTTGCAAGCCCAGGAAAGGTTCAGTTATCCTCTGGCTTTCTGCCTGGAGGCTATTAGTCTCAGTTACTTGAAGAGCCTTGGGTTCTCAGTTGAAGGATTTGTCGCATTCTTTACGGAACTAAATCAAGTACCTAAAATTTTTTCTCATAAAATCTTTAAAGTTCTTTAAAAGTGAAAAGTGATAGTCATATTTTTTCTGGACTTCTAAGAATGATGCAGATTTTAAACACGTTTCATTTAGTGATAAACAGACAACCTTGATTCCTGATGAAGTGTTCGATGCAGTAAAAAGCAACATGATCACTTCTATTAACTTCAGTAAGAATCAGCTATGTGAAATTCCACAAAGGTAAGAACTGTTCATGATGCCATTTCTTTTAAGTTGTGACTGGTAAGTTTTGTTTCTTCTTAGTTGCAAAAATATTCGTCATAGTTTTTAAATTTGAAAGTGTATGTAAAATTTTTTGCATTAGTAATACTTGAGGTTTTTAGCAAAATTTACTAAAGTATTTCCTGAGATACTTTTAATACTTATTATGAAAGATGTATATATATGTTTTAAAAAAACTTTCTTTCTTTTTTTACATTTTAAACTTGGATATAGATATTAGAATTATTAAAAGTATTAAATAGTCCAACCAGTATGTTCAGTGGTTGAGGATCAACCCATGCACCAAGAGGTTGCTGGTTCGATTTCCGGTCTGGACACATGCCCAGGTTGTGGGCCAGATCCCCAGTGACAGGGCATGCAGGAGGCGGCCAGTCGATGTTCTCTCTTATTGATATTTCTATCTCTCTCTCTCATTTCCTCTCTGTAAAATCAATAAAGGAAAAAAAAAGTATTAAATACCTTTTTCCCCCATTAATATATGAGGAAAGTTTTAAGAGACTCTCCAAAACCAGGTTTATGTAGATTAATAGGGATATTCATTTGGGGCTTTATATTAATGAATCACCAAACCACTGAATTTTCCCCTGGTAGCAAAAATAAAATGGACTGAATCCTGTTAGTATTTTCCGCATGGAAAAGGATTCTTCACTTCCAAATGTTAGAAGTCTTTTGTATTGCATTTGTTTTAATAAATCTTTGTTGATCTAAATTATAGCAACAGTTTTCGATTACGAGAAAAAATAAGTATATGTTGAACTTTTACAAATGATTGTTCTCTTGCAGTAAACTATATACTCAAAGAAAGGTGCCAAGTAATCTTGCAATTAAAACAACTGTGTGGGAGACAGGATAGGGCAATGTTAAAGAATTGGGACAGTAGAGTCAATTGCTTGTATTTATATCCCAGATCTACTAGCTGTGTGGCTTTGGACATGTTAACTAGCTGCTCTTAGTCTCCTCATCTGTAAAGTAAAGATAATAATTTATTTATTATTACCTATATTAGTACCTAATATTTATTAGGATTAAATTAGGATTAAACGACAGTCCACATAAAGCATTTAATCAGTGCCTAGTATTTAGTAAGTACTTAACTACTTTTTTAAAAATAAGAAAAAATGATGTATTTGGAAAATAGAATGGCTTTCATCTGACTGCAAAAAATTTTTTTAGATTTTTAAAATTTTTATGAAGTCAAATTATAATTTGCTTTATAGAGCATAGTTTGGGAATGTAGACCTTGAAAGATGGTAACTAAGCCCTGGCCGGTTTGGCTCAGCGGTTAGAGCGTCAGCCTGCGGTCTGGAGAGACCCGGGTTCGGTTCCCGCTAAGGGCACGTACCTCGGTTGCAGTTTGTCCCCGGCCCTGGTTGGTCGTGCGGGTGGCAGCCACTCGATGTGTTCCTTTCACATCGATGTTTCTCTCTCTCTGTTCCTCTCTCTCCCTCCCACTCTACCTGAACAAAAAATGGAAAAATGTCCTCGGGTGAGGATAAAAAAAAAAAAAAAAAAAAAAAGAAAGATGGTAACTAAAACATTCCACTGGAAACAGAGATCTAGTCCATCTTCTCAATCTCTCTTAGTTAAAGGGCTCTGAAGATATTTGATAGAAAGTTGATTATTACATTTGCTGTCAGATGGAGTAAGTTTGTTTCAGGGATCTTGGTTCACCTTCAAAGAAGATAAAAGGAGTTATAAGACTTTAACTTATTGCTTTCTCATTTTATCCCACAATCTGGTTATGTAAAACAGTGTTATTCTGTTACTAGAGTTATTTTATCATAATTTTAGCAGTTTAGAAGGCCAAAGAAGAAATATAGTGAAGACACACCTCCTCTAGAGAGTTTCTGAACCACTTTCCATCTTTCTTAAATTATATTTACAAGTCACAGTTTTCACCATATTATTTTCTGGTTTTAAAAAGAATATTTATTCATAAAATTTTATACTAAATGAAGGGACAAATCTCTTGTAGTCCCATCACTAATTTATTAACTAATGGCACATTTTATTTTAAACTGTTCCCATTTACAGTTTGTATCTTGACTGGTTTATTTTTCATAAGTAGTTCCCTATGTTGTAAATAATACTTTAAAAAAATCAAATTTATCTATATATTATACAGTTAATTATGGCAATAAATTAAACAAATAAAGGAGGCCATATTTCTAGACGAATTATTAAATCAAAGAGTATGGCTCTCTATATATCCAAAAACTTTCCAAAAAAGTTTTATCAGTTACATATTCGAACTCACTGTATCTTCTTTAATATAATATTTGATATTCGTCTTTTATTGCTAATATTGATAAAAATGATTTATTGTCATAGTTTAATTCATTTCTTGGCTAACCATATGTAACATTTCTTGTTCTTATAGTTAAATTAATAGCATACTTTTGAATTACTAAGCTTGATTAGGCTTACTTAGAAATGTTTAATTCTTCCTCTTTAAGTCTTTGTCACTAACTTCAGTTGTTTAGTGGTGACACTTACCAAACTAGGAATTAATGTTTTCTTGCAGTCATGATTAAATGTAATGATGATTAGGATAATAAATACTATACTTTTAAAGTGTGGATATATAATATTTAAAAAACATTTTGAAGTACCCAGATGGTACTATATTATGCAATGTAAAAAATGGCCTAGATTTGATTTTTCTTCTTTGTCCATAATTGGTTTAACTATAAAATAAATGGATTTTTAAACTTCAACATATATTTAAGGACTGGTAGAAATTATGGGACAGACAATATTAAGGCTGTTTTTTAAAATCTATTTTTATCAGTTATACATTCAAACTGATTGAAATTTTTGTGAGAAAGCTTAAAGTTACAGAAAATTTTAATTAGCAAAAAATATAGAATTCCCCTCCACCCCCTTGGTTTTCTTGTTGTTTAGAAGTTCTGAATCCAAGTGCTAACAATTATAAATTATTTGTGTTTCAGGATTGTAGAACTGAAGGAAATGGTTTCTGATGTCAACCTCAGTTTTAATAAGCTTTCCTTTATGTCCTTAGAATTATGTATGCTTCAGAAATTAACTTTTTTAGATCTCAGGTATGTACTGATACTATTCTTCACTTTTTTCATTATAACTTGTCTTTGATTTTTGCCTACTTTTGCCCTTTCCCTCATATTTTCCTAAGTAAGCATGGAAATTGGTCTTCAGTTTATTAATAATATTTTAGGATAACTAAAATTAAGCATTTAGGAAGTATTTTAATCAAATCTCTCATTGGTAGACAATTTACAAGTTAAGTGATAATGACAAAATTATTTAAAATATTAACACATTCTTTAGATTCATGCTTACACAAAATTATAAATAACATGGAAAATATTTGCTTCACATTGTTCCTTTTCTGAAAGTAAATAGCATAAAACTGTCAATCCTATGCTGGCATAGCAGGCTAGCATGGCTTCACTTAAAAAGAAACATTTTGGCCTGGCCCGTGTGGCTCAGTGGTTGAGCATCAACCCATGCACCAAGAGGTCGCTGGTTCGATTCCTGGTCAGGGCACATGCCCAGGTTGTGAGCCCGATCCCCAGTGGGAGGCATGCAGGAGGTGGCCAATCAGTGTTCTTTCTCATCAGTGTTTCTGTCTCTCTCTGCCTCTCCCTTCTCCTCTCTCTGTAATATCAATAAAGAAAAAAAAAGTTTTTAAAACAAGGAACATTTGGTTCCAAAATAGTATATTAAACCTGCATGCCTGGAAATAATGAAAAAGAACAGTATGAGTGGCAACACAAAGAAAAGAAACTACTTAAGGTTCTGCAGATGTAATAGGAATTTCAATTTAAATATGTTCAAAGTTGCTCTGGCCAATTTGGCTCAGCAGTTAGAGCTTCAGCTTGCAGACAAATGAGTCACAGGTTTGATTCTGGTCAAGGGCCTGTACCTTGGTTGCAGTTTGTCCCTGGCCCTGGTTTGGTTGTGCAGGAGGCAACCAGTCAATGTGTCTCTCTCACATCGATGTTTTTCACTCTCCTTCTCTCCCTCCCACTCTGTCTGATGATAAATAGCAAATTATCTTTGGGTGAGGATTACAAAATAATTATAATAAATAAACAAATAAAATGTTCAAAGTTGCCCTGACTGGTGTGTTCAGTGATTAGAGTGTCGACCTGTGTACCACAGGGTCACAGGTTTGATTCCCGGGCAAGGGCATGTAACTGGGTTACAGGTTCTATCCCCGGCCCTGGTCAGAGTGCCTGCGCGAGACAACCAAACTCTCCCTAAATATCAATGGAAAAATATATCCTCAGATGCGATTTAAAAAGTAATAAATAAATATGTTCAAAGTTGATATGACAGGATTACAAGTATCATAGTTCTCTGAAGGTAATAATATATATCTCAGGGTTAGATAGTCATTTATTTGCATGGGCTTTAAAACTTTATTTATAAACTATATGTCTACTATCTAGAATTCCTACTGCTCATATATGGTTACTAGGTGTGTTTTTTAGTTTATTTAAAGTATAGCTTCCTTGTTCTGCTCAAACAATTGTCAAATAACAATAAGCTAAGTTATATCTGTTTTATTTTTCTTATAGAGACAAAGATTGTTTATTTATGGGATGAAATACTTTACTCTGATCCTACTAAATGTAGACATGTTTCTATTTTTGGGTGGCAGTTGCACTGGCAAAACAGTGTAAAACCGTATTTTAGTTCAGTATTATTAGAGCAAAAGAGAATGAATTTATGTCCCCATTGCTGCTTTTATTTCTTTTTGTCCCATTCTTCAGTGGTGTGTGCGTGTTATGCCTTCATCTATAACCATAGCTGGTGGTTTCTAATTAAGTGACTAAAATACGCTTTTATGTCTGTTATGAGTAGGTAAAAGACTTTCTAGGAAAAGATAGAAACCAGCAGTAGGTTGTTCAGTACAACTTAATAAAAACAATAAGTGGAGAAAACTACAGAAAAAAGAACATAGGTTGAGCTGTAAAAAGTATGACTCTTAAATATTAGGCTTGACTTCTGAATGTAAAGAAATACGTGAGAGAAAATTATTCAATTGTAATATATAGCCATCTATTTGGATATAATTTTCTCATAGATATTTAACCTTTCTCCTAACATTGTTCCCAGATCCTTCCATCAGTAAATGAGATTCTGTTTACTGCCATGGTTCATCATAAAATAAAATAAAAATGCACTGTGCAAATTGAAATTCTAAACTTAGAGTAGAAGTGGACTTGTGTAATACCTATGTAGTAGAAAGTTCCGTGTTTCTGAATATGTAGAATCTCTCTACTTTCCTATTTCATTTTTTCATATAATTTAATTTTTTTGAGTAGAATTTTACGTCTGTGTGCAAGATATATATACGTTTTAACACCAATCAAATATCTGTGGTATCAAGTAATGTGGTATTTATAGGCATGATTTAAAGGACCCTGGCCGACAGAAGTATTGTAGAGCTCCATTTGAAGGAGGTAAGGGTTAGTTTACAGTGTCTGTCCTGTTAAATCTATTGTTAGAGTTGATTACATTATCAGTTGGATATAGGTATTAGAATTTGGCACACTAATCAATACTTGAGGCAGTCGATTATTCTCAGGACTCAGCCTTAAGCACAGACAGTGCTATGTAATTTTTTGTCTGATCAAAACTTTAATTATAAATTAAAGCTGAACAACATTTTTTTGTAAATCTTCTTTTTCTTTCCAATTTAGAAACAATTTTTTAAATTCTTTGCCTGAAGAAATGGAATCGTTGGTAAGACTACAGACAATCAATCTTTCCTTTAATAGGTAAGAGACAGAACAGACAAATTTGTGACTAATGATTAATTTATGGAAATTTGTAGGTTTAATTAGAGAATACAACTATAAGAGCCAAACAAAAAGGCCCTATATTTTTACTTTATTTAAATATCCAGGTTTATTTTCACTTAGTTCTACTTAGAATTTAAAGTGATGTTGCTCTTTTAAACTTTTCACAACTGATAGAGTCGATTTTGTGTTCCTTTTAATTATTTTAATATACTTATTGTAATGGAAACATAGTGCACAAAGGTGTTTCCTGAGATTACATGAAGTTAACAGAGGTTGCACTGAAACTGAGAAAAACATCTGCCCATTTAGAAAAAATGGGCAGATGTTTGCCAGACACACAAGGGATTGGGCATCCTAGTGGAGCAAGTAGCATGTACTAAGGCACTCAGATGTGAGAGTGTGCTGTGTTTGGGACACTTCAAGAAGATGAATGGGCTCCGATCATAACGTGAGGAGCTAGAGGAGTGGAAGTAATTAAGTTGGACATGTAAGCAGTAGCCAGCCCTTTAAGAACCAAATGAAACTGCTAATTATTAAGAATAGCTCATATTTATTCGGAGTTTATCATCTGCCAACACTGGACTAAGTATTTTACATATGCTTTCTCATTTAATTTGCACAAAAGGCTCACATGGTAGATTCTGTTATTATGTCCATTTAAAAACAGGATTCGGAGCAAAGAAACTCACCTAAGAGTCACCTAGATAATAAATTATAGAGCTGGGATTTGAATCCAGGTTGTTTGACTTCAGAAGTTGGACTCTTAAGAACAATGTTATATACTGTTTTCTATGATGAAAGTTGATTTTAGTAACAATTTAATTGAAATATTAATAGCTAAAATTTACTGAATTCCAGCTACTACTATCTTAAGGTCTTCAAATATATTCATTTAATCCTTATAACAAGTGTATAAGTTTGGTACTGTTATTATTTACCATTGACAAATGTGGAAGCTAAGGTATAGTGATGTTCAAATGCTGCCTATTTAAATTTTTGTTCTGTCTGCTCTATTATTTTAGCTTTCTCATGTGTAGGTTATATCATTGTTGTCATTATTTAAAAATATATGCACTTCTCAGATCTCTGCCAATTTTTATTTGTAAATTGAACTATCATTTCTCTATTGACTCATATATTAAGGTCCCAGTTACATTGTCAAGTAATGTCTTTGGGGAATTGGCAAAAGTTAACCCTAATTGAGCCACATCTTTTAAAATTACCTTGTTCATGGGTTGGTGGGGAAGAAGAATAGGAGGAACTACTTGGAGGCAGTTTGATTCATTGATTCCCCGGTCTGTCTGGACCTACAGAGCTGCCTTGAACCTACCCTTTACTATTGCATTTTTTTACATTGAGGCAGCAAAGGAAGGACAGCATGGGGAAGTGAAAAGGCCACAGCTGTAAAGTTCTACAGCCTACTCTTCTCTTTTCTAGTCTGCTTTGTGAGATGCAGTTTGTCCCACACTGACACCTTGCTAGCCTCTGTCCCCCAAGACACACCCCAGGATTTTGTGTTACTTGCTCTGAGAGCCATTATCCTTCTTATCTGTTTTGTGGCATCTTCAGGGTTGCTTTGGATGCGGAAGCCACAGCCTATGCTAGTTTTTCATTTTTTCAATAACCAAAAATGCACTCATTTTTGAAACTTCAGTCAAATCACAATAGGAACCTTGAATTTTTACTTAATATTGGCCGTGATTCTGTTTCATAAGAAATAAAAGTGAACTAAGGAAGAATACCTATACAGAGACATTTTATACAGAATCTCAGGAAGATTTCCTTGTCTGCTGAATGTGAAAGGAAAACAGTGGGGCATTTACTCTAAACTTTTATTTGATTTTATACAATAAATAAAACTGTTACTAATCTGTCCACGTAACTTGTATTTCAGTGTTCCCAAAATTAATTCATTTTCTTGAAAATTTGAATATAGGGCTTTACACCAAATATAAAATAACTTAAAGAAAACTTTACCTCAAGATATCAAACTTAAGATCATGTATTTGAAGGAATGATTTTGCCTCCTATTCCAATATATTTAGGTGTTCGTTCTGTTTACATTTAAATAGGTTTAAAATACTACCTGAAGTACTGTATCGCATCCCCACACTTGAAACAATTTTGATTAGTAACAATCAGGTTGGATCTGTGGACCCTGTGAAATTGAAGACTATGGAAAATCTGATCACATTGGACCTTCAAAATAATGACCTCCTACAAATTCCACCAGAGCTTGGTAATTGTGTGAACTTGAGGTAACTACTCAATTCTACTAAGTTTTTTCATTTATTTGATTGATTTGTTGAAGTGTTTTGTTTTTTTTTTGGTTTGTTTGTTTTTTCTGTTGAGGAACTGTAGCCGGAAAATTAAAGTAAAAAATGTAATGTCCTGTTAAAAATAATAGGTAACAAACCCAGAATCCCAATTCTGTTTTCCAGATTTTACCAAATTTATTTTTTAAGCTTTGTTTATATGGTATTATATATATATAAATAAAATAACTGATTGTTGGAAGTGATACTTTTCTCATCACTCTGTATAATCTGAAACTGCTGCATACAAATTGTTAGGGAAATATATTTAGCATACAGGGTTTTAAAAAATCTGATTGATTACAGCCCTGGCTGGTTTGGCTCAGCGGTTAGAGCGTCGGCCTGCGGTACAGAGAGACCCGGGTTCGGTTCCTGCTAAGGGCATGTACCTCGGTTGCAGTTTGTCCCCGGCCCTGGTTGGTCGTGCGGGTGGCAGCCACTCGATGTGTCCCTTCACATCGATGTTTCTCTCTCTCTCTCTCTTCCTCTCTCTCCCTCCCGCTCTATCTGAACAAAAAATAAAATAAAAAATTAAAAAAAAATCTGATTACAGGTTATCACCATTTATTTTAAGTGGGCTTTGTGCCGGGGCATGGTCTTTCTCACTCTGTCTGTTTGGCATTCCCTCAGCCTCAAATGCCTTTACCTGTCTTTTATCAACAATCAGCCTAAATATCACATTTGAAAAACTTTTCTTATTCTTCAGGTATAGTTAGTTCCTCCTCTTATTTCCCATCCTGCTTTGTTTAGACTCATTTATACCATTTCTTAGTCCTCCTCTAGAAAAGACTTGTCCCAGTGCCTGGAACATAGTAAGCACCCAATAAATGCTTGTTAAGTGACCATAAAGGGAGTTTGAGATGTCAACAGAAAGCCTAGTTAAGCAGAATGTGTCAGAAGTAATTCCATTATTGAAAACTGCATGTGATGGTTTGGCATAGTTTACTCGGGCAGCACTGGCAGCTGCTCTGGTAGCTCTTATTAGTGCATCATTATAGTAGGCAAGTGCAGTTGATTCTCATCATTTGTAGCAGTTATATTCTATAAAGTGTCTGTAAACACCAAATTAGTGAATTTTGAACCATTATTCTAAGGGGAAGTACAAGAATTAGGTTCATTTGAGCCTCTCATCACATTTTCAACCAATTGATACGTAACCATTTTTTAAATGTGTTTTTGTATTAGGACACCTTATTTAATATTGTTTACTCATTAACATTGAACTATGGCCAAACAGCACTATAATTCATACCTGCATGAAGCTTATCTAATACATATTTTTTCTGTAAGGAATGGCCTTCTTGTTTAAGAAAACTAGAGGAGCAAGCACTTCAACATTACACTTGCAGGCCATTTTTTTTATTTATTTATTTTTATCCTCACCCGAGGACATTTTTCCATTTTTTGTACAGATAGAGCGGGAGGGAGAGAGAGGAAGGGAGAGAGAGAGAGAAACATCGATGTGAAGGGACACATCGAGTGGCTGCCACCCGCACGACCAACCAGGGCCGGGGACAAACTGCAACCGAAGTACATGCCCTTAGCGGGAACCGAACCGGGTCTCTCCGGACCGCAGGCCAACGCTCTAACCGCTGAGCCAAAATGGCCAGGGCTTGCAGGCCATTTTAAACAGAGAAGTTACTGAGTACAAAAATGCAAAATGTCACATGAAAAAGACCAGGACAAGGACGCTTGTGTACAGAATGAGAGCTGAAACAAGAAGGCAGTGTCACCTGTTCAACCTTAGTGGAGAATGTGCCAATTCAGTGACTCAAATTTTTTACTGCTCTGTGCTTGTCAAAAAATGACCTAGAAAGTGCCAGCTGCATTGGTTTTGGGTTACAAATAAGTTTACTGAGTAGGCAAATGAGCAAATATTGGGGATTGACTATAATTAACTGATTTTTCTATAAATTAAGAAAATCAGTCTTTAAAAGAAGTAGGTTTACAGTTGTTCATAAGGAAAATAATATAATAATTAATAATACAAGAATAAACTGTGTTTCGTGTACTCACAACTCTAAACCTACTTTTGCCCCACCCTGTATAATTCAACCATTTAGTTTATGGTCATTAGAAGATTGAGGAAAGGATGGTTAAATGCTGGGTCAGATGACAGCCCCTCTCTTTAATAATTGTGTGATCTTCAACAAGTCTTTCTGACCTCTCTGAGCGTGTTTCCTTATCTCTAAAATAGGAGTATTAATGGTACTTACATTTTAGGGTTGTTAAGATAACCAAGAGAGTCAGTGAATTTAAATTACTTAGCAGAGTACCTTTTACATAATAAGTATTGTTAATGTTGTTTTGGTTATTATTGTAGTTATAATTCCAACTGTTTAAATGCTTCGATTTGAAAGAGACAAATAGAAAAAATACACAAAATTTATTTATGAAATTAGAAGAAAAGCCTTCCTAATGGAAAATGTTAAAGTTCTTAATTTCTCTCTTTTGTTTAGAACATTACTGCTAGATGGGAATCCATTCCGCGTCCCTCGAGCCGCCATATTAATGAAAGGAACAGCTGCTATTCTGGAATATTTGAGAGATCGAATTCCTACTTAAATTGGAGTTGTTTTATATTTTTGACCATGTTAATTCTTAGAATTCTTACATTGATAACTAACATTTTTCTAAGGTGTTGTGTACATTTGTAATGGTGAAAACATGTATAATGTGCATATATATGTTCTGAATGTTTTGCACAAGATTTATCCTATTCATTTCCATTCCCTTATAGCATAGAAAACAGTTTGTTCAAAAGTGAATTTTATTTAATGTAGTTTAATATTTTTATGATGATAAAGTGTTCTTGGAGAAGTGGGTTTTTTTCCCCATTTCTGTTTGTGTTGCATATAATATGACCGATTGACTTGAGTATGACCATCCATTTTCTGTCTTTTTATTCTATATAAAATTGACTTGAATTTTATTCAGTATTGTTCTTTGACATTTAAAAAATAAGACTTTTCATTACCGATGATAGGATTTTTGTGGTTTGATTGATCTCAGTATACATTTTAGATTAACATTCACTGTGTTATTTTTGTTTTAATCTAGTTGAAATGTTTCTAACCTTTTCCTTGTGTTTTATGAAATCATTTTGTCAGGGTTTCTAATGCCACAGAAATGCTATACAAGATTTAGTTATTGGTGGAGAAAATAATAAATGTTGTTATAATTACTATCACAATTTTTAATTTAAAACTTGACAGGGTTTTTTAAAATGATGTCTTAGTATTAAGTTTCCATACAGTAATCTGGTACTTCTAGATTCAAGAAATTTGAAGAGATTGGATTTATATATTTTTCCCTCCAAATGTTAGCAGTTTAAAAATACCTTTTCTTTTTTTTTAAATAAAGTACTGAAGACCTTATTTTATTCTATAGATATTAGTAACAGAACATAACTAATAATGTGTACTGCATAGACATCTTGAAATGTACTTTGTTTAAATACTAAGCAGTTATTTGTATACATAATCTATACTGTTGGTGTGTTCTAACCCGACCTTATATATTATATTATTTATTTCCATTTAAATAAATGGCCTTCATTTAAATATTTGCTTGTAATCTTCATAAGACTACACTTGTAGTCATGTAGTAATTTTCTAAAAGGGAAGTTGTTATAGGTGAACTTCATCTAATTAGTATAAAATATAAACACTTTTAGTTACACCAGAAATAGCGGAAGTAGGCTAGACTGATCCATTCTTATAAAACTTACCATGTGATTCTATTAAGCAGCCAATCAACAGAATGTATACTAACTTACATGGATGGATGGATGGATGGATGGATGGATGGATGGATAGATGGATAGATAGATAGATAGATAGATAGATAGATAGATAGCTTTTGAATGATTGAGGCATGCTCATATTGTGAAAAAGTTATTGCTAATAAAGAAATAGTACACGTTCATAATAAAAGTTACATTTTCAAATGTTAATTACAATGTTTGTGTTTTTGGTTTAAAACAAACATGCCTTTTTCATACTACAACTCTGATTGACTAAGAAAAATCTGCTTTGACATTAAACAAAAGACACTTTACAATAAGGTGACATTTTATTATTTATACAATAAAGAGACTTTTATGTTATTCAAAACACTTTTTTAAATACTGAAAAAGTTGAGTACACCAAAGCCGGAAAATGGCTCTGCTATACACTGCACAGCATTATTTTAGTCCCTGTATTTTGTATCTGTACAGAAAGCATCTTCAAAATGCATTCTAATCACATTGTACACCTTTGCCGATTAGGGTCAATACATAAAATAAAACTGGAGAATACAGCTTGCATTTGCAAATTAACTGACCAAGTAATTTCACTGATTCAGTAAATTTAAAATATAGATTCATAGTACTTCTTTGCACATAAAATGAAGCAGCTTTCAAGGTTCTTATGGTCTCATACTGCAAAAAAAACCCATTAACTACATTCACAATCTATGTTAATAAAGTAGTAAATATGTCTTCATTCAGTTTTATTTACATCAATATGTAGTTCAACTAAAAAGTACTGTTAATTGTGGTACAGTAGTTTTTTAACACATACAAAATGACAATTTTTATATATAATTTAAGCTCAAAATCACAATTATCTCAAAATATTAATTACAATACAGCCATTTCAATTAAACATGTTGTGATTTATTTTTTTTATAAAATGGTAAAATTTTTTATTAAAGTAAGCAATTAGTTTTGAATTGGCTAGAGTTCACCCATGTAGAAAACCTTAAATATTAAGAGGTGTTTCCTGCCCCCTCCCATTTGAATTTGTATACTGCCACCTAGGCTAGCAAAGAGACAGAAAAGGCCCCAATTTATAAAGATTAAGCCTCTTTTGCTATACTGCTGTGGCTTGTTTCTTCCATAAAAGCTTTACAAGGGGAGTGTCAATAAATTATGCAGTGAAATGCATGCATTAATATACAACATGTTTACATAAAATGTTAGCATTTACTAGTGCACATTAAAATGTTCACAGACTGCAGAATAAGTCATAAATAAAGAAGCACTTATTAAGATCTATCAATTGCAAATTGTAAACTTGCAAACTACTTGTTAATATAATGGAATTTCTTTGAAAACAATTCCCGATTCAAGTTTTTTCTCTGGCTAAAGGAGCTCTAGTTACTTGGCCTTAAGATGTCACTGTTGCACTGCACATATGGTAGTGAAGTCCATTGTCAAAAAAGAATGAGTCCAGAGACTGTCTATTTTGCTAAAATAGTGGCCTAATGTTGCATCACTGTAGGAATTTTCCTTAAACTTACAGAAGGGCGAAATATTTCACTACCCAAATTATATGACCTCAAATTAAAAAATTTGTGTATATACATGTGTTTAGAATATGGGAAAATATCTATATAAGTAGGTGGAATTAGAATTTACAGTCATAAAGGATTATGCCTCCAAATAACTGAGGTCGAAAGGAAGCAATTTTCAAAAGGAAGCAATTATCAAATAGTTTAGGAATGAAAGAATATTTTTCATGGTTTCATAAAAAAAAAAACCTAAAACCTTTTTACTTATAATTCTTTGCAAACCAATTAACATGTATCGTCTTTTTTTAGAATTGCTGCTGTTAATATTCTCTGAATAGAAAGAGACTATAGTTCATATTATGGTTTACTTTTTTGAACAACTAGGGTGTGTGGGGGGGTGCCCTTGGGTGGCTGTAAATGGGAAAAACAAAGTACTTGCAAACTACTTTTGCAAGGTTATTTGAGATGGTCTTTGAAATTTACAAATAGAATCCAATAAATTTACCTCTGAATTTTAAATAGGAGAAAATTTCTCCTTCATTTGAAGACAATGTTATTATAAGCTTCCTTTAGTCCTTTCTATACACTGAGTACAAAGAGTAACTCTATTGGCTCTTGAGACAAAAATATCTGGTTTATCTATCATTTATCTTTTTCTTCATTCCAAACGGAAAATAATAAGGCTTGCATTTTCAAGGAGGAAAGTGTAGTTGAGGATATTAAAGGGGAATGCCTAAACATCATAAAGCAGTATTAAAACATTTATTGCATTCCATTGACACTAGGTGTCATCAAAGCTAAAATCAAATTTCCTAGAGTAACACTTAGCATACAACATTCATTACTGCCCTGAACAGATGCCTCTTCCACATTCAAGACCAGTAAGGCTCCTCTGAGTGGAAAGACCACAAATATTGAAAATAAAATTATTTCAGCACCACGTTGTGAAAATAAATTACCATTCTTACACACATGAGAACTGCTTTATGTTCTATCTGCCTGAGAGTTTAATCTTGGTTTTTCTATAGACTTTCCAAAAAATTACATAAGATTTCCTGACTAAGAGATGTTCTTTAGTAGAGTGCTGGGGAAGGGGAAGAGGGATGAAAAGACACAAAGAAATATAATGTGATTTCTTTTGTTCATTAAATGCTTTCCTTAATGTAGCTATCAAAGATCAGTTGACCTGCGTACCTGGGCAATATTTAACTTCATTAACTGTGCAAAGCAAGTGCAGAAAGAAAAACACATATATGTGTGTGTCTACAGAGACACAAAGCCTGAGTCACAATAAAAAGTTTTTAATATAAGAAAACTTTTCTTAATGTAGGAAAATAACCTTTAAAGGGCCAAAAATATCTTTGTACAATATAGTTAACTAAAACTTCAATGTGCTTAAGTATCACATAATTTATAAGACCCGACAAAAAGGGAGTAATTTACATTTGATAATTTTCTTAGCTATAACTGAGATACCCACATCTAACATCTGTTTTCATTCCCCTGAATTCATTAAATTTCCCAAAAAGTAAAAGCATATTTAAATATGAGGGCTGTTTAATTTCTGATGAACAGTTCCAGCTTGTTACTAAATATTGAGGACCTAGGAGATTTGGGGTTGCTAGGTATATAACTTAAAGCCAAGCCACACCAGAACTCAGAACAAAAAATATATATTTAAGAGAAACATTACTTGGAAAAATATGTTGTAGATAGAGTTGGGCCAAAGTCTGCATGAAGCTCTTCTCTCATTGCAGGCTCCCTTTTTGCAGACAGTTCCCTCTTAAAACCTTCTTCTCTATGCACAATTTCCTCAGCTTTCAGTGGGTTTCTTACCTTTTCCATACTTGAACCCTGAATTCTCCCAATTGGGCCCAATTCTCCCTTGCTCATATCCAACAACCAGTTACAACATCCTTTCCACTCTACATCTTTATAAGCTCTTCCTCGTCTGCAGGAGCTGATGACTCCTTGTCTTCCCCTCATGTGCCACTTCTACTCATTAGGAGAAAATCTGTTTAACTGCCCCACTGTGTTATCGTTAGACTCTGCTTCAAGGCTCAATTCAGGACATACTTATTCCCTGGGATGCAATCTGAGAGTGTTTTTTGAGAAAAATGAGGATAAATTGCTGCTCCATGCCGCCCCCAGCTGGCCATTGTCAGCTGGGGCATTGCACTGATTATGCATTCATGTCAGATAAGTCACTGATCCCTAGAGGAGGAATCCTGAACCCAAAGATTCAACTCTTGCATCTGTGGGTAGATAGGAGGCCCTTGGAATAGTTGTGTCAGTAGGTGAGGGGATTCTGGGCAGTTTCCTT